TATTATCTCTGAAACAGGGTCCACTGGTTAATTCTGTTTTCTGTCCACAGATGCTGCCAGATCTGCTGAATTTATTCAGCAATTTCTGTTTTTTGTTGTCTGGGAAAATCACGAAGTTGGGTTAGATGGAGAGTCCTGAGAATAGAAAATTATGAAGGACATTTCTAAGATTGCAAGTTACCAGGCTGAGAAAAACAAAAGAACAGTACTAAACTGATGAGATCTAGTAATCACTTTGCACTTATTCTGGGAAAATTGAATGGCTATATAGAGGATTGTGTGAAGTATTATGTGTGAAATCTTATTTTTTCTGGTTTAACTATGATTAATGGGGCAGGGTATTATCACTTAAAATATAAATTGCCTATTTAAAAAAAAGGGTTTAACCAATATTGTTTTGTTTAGACTTTTGTTACAGCACAAGTTTTAAAACACATATCTTGTCTAGTCATTCCTTCATCTATGAACCAAAAGCTCGGATCTCCTTTAATAGTTATTAGTCATTATTAGGTTCACAACAAAACTGGACTGATTTCCTTTTTCCCGCCCTATACGTATGTGCTTTATCACTTTCTTTGAATGTCAAGATCACAATAATCTGAATCTATAGTGTACTCACTATCTTACACTGACTATGTCATTAGCACCTCACAAATATACCTCCTTCTGCCTTAGTACCATACGATAAATACCTCATGTATTTGTTTTGAATCTTTTTCAAGTCTCCATTAAAGAGTAAGATTGAAATAACCTATGGTCGTACTTCAGGCTCACATTCAGCTCCACTTGCATCCCCTTACCTCTGGATAGCTTTGTAATAAAGTAATCCATTTTCCAGTGGAACGATGGTTCATATAACAATGAACAACCTTTCCATTGGCTGTACTAGTCTTAACAGCAGCACAATGCCATTCATGCCAGACACTTTCTCTTTTTAATTTCAATCTTGTGACCAAGGTGTCAGCTTTGGCTCTATGTTAGCAATCCCACCTTTGAGTTGGAAGGATATGGATTCAACTCCATCCCTCTCTCCAGAGATGGTGTGAATAATGCAAGCTGACACTTCAGGCCACCAATGAGGGAATGTGCACCGTCAAAGATGATATCTTTCAGATAAGACATTAAACCGATGCCCAATTTGCCTTCTTTGTGGATGTGAAAGATACCATGGCTATTTCATAATATTTCAAGGAAAAATAAGGGGCTTTGCTTCAGTGTCCTGGCCAATATTTATTCGTCAATCAACATCACAAAACAGATTCATTCTCATTACGCTGCTGGGAGCATGTTCTGTGCAAATGCGTGTTTTATTGCTACACTGGTACCCATTGCCTACAACAGCAATTTTGGACACCCTGTGTATAAATACAAGCCTGCCTTGTTTTCTTCATTAAGTGAATCTCTTACAGCTTACCTTCAGTTGCTGGCCAAAGTCATTGCAACGTTCTCTTTTGACAACTGCACAGCAGTGGTAAAGACAGTTCCAGATTTCTACCTCTGGTTTCAACATTGTACAACTAAGACAGTACCCCATCCATGTTATCAAGGGCAAATAGCGTCCTAAATTTTAAGAACTCTATGCTTTCTATACTTAAGTTCCAATCTTCCAATTTTTTTGGTTTATCAAGCATTTATCCCTAACTCTTTTGTTCCTTGTTTTATCTCCAGAATATTCTATTTCATGCATGTAAAAAATTACCTGATATAGTGTGATGGGCTCAATTCTGTAAGCCAGCAGGTCAGCAAATTCCTTGGCAATCACGGTTTTGCCACAACCCTGCATGACGAGAATTCATAGATGTTTTTCACAGCATCATATAAAACAACAAAAACTGGAGCCAGTGCAAGCTTTGCAATGTGTAACAGAATCTACTTTCATATTACCTTTCCACCAATTAGACATATGTCCTTTACCATGTGCGACTGAATCATTTCGGCCAGGAGCCTGTCATGACTGGATGTTCTGATGAAATTCGGTGACCCAGTGTGAAATTTCAACCGTTTTGTTCCAACAGGAATCTAAAATTCAATGATTAAAAGCATACCCATTTTACCGTCACTGATGTCACCTTTAATATTACACTTCCAAGGGTTTAAGTAATTACAAGTAACACTATAGATAACTTTATAATATTACTTTACCGGTTTCATACAAATGAGCGATTTGCTAGGCCATATCAGACAGCAATCAAGTGTCAACCACATTTCTGTTATTCTGGAGTCACATGTAGGCTAGATCAGGTAAGGACAACAGATTTCCTTTTCCACAGGGCATTAGTGAATGTGCAGGAGGCCTTGCCAGGAGCAGCACCAGGAATATCTAAATGACCAACCCGGTGAAGCTACAAAACAGGACTACTTGAATGCCCAACTGCATAAGCAGGAAGTGATACACAGAGCTAAGCAATCCCAGAATCAATGGGCCAGACCTAAGCTCTGCATTCCTGAAACACACTGTTATGAATAGTAGTGGAGAATTAAACAACTCAGTCAAAGAGGACAATCCACAAATATCCCCATCTGCAATGATGGAGAAGACCAGCACATAAGTGGAAAGTTTAAGGCTAAGTTCAACACTTGCAGTTAACTTCAGCCAGAAGTCTTGAGTAAATGATTCATCTCAGTCTCCTCCTGAGGTCCCAGCATAGATGCCATTCTTCAGCCAATTTGATTCACTCCAATGGCTGAAACCACTGATTACTAGAAAGACTACTGGCCTTGTTTTTATTGCAGCAATAGTATTTGGTGGCTCAGTGGCTAGCACTGCTGCCTCACAGCGCCAGGAACCTGGATTCAATTCCACCCTCGAGCGACTGTGTGGAGTTTGCACAATCTGCTTGTGTCTACATGGGTTTCTTCCGGGTGCTCTGGTTTCCTCCCACAGTCCAAAGCTGTGCAGGTTAGGTGGATTGGCCACACTAAATTGCCCATAATGTCCAGGGATGTGCAGACTAGGTTGATTAGGCATAGGAAATACAATGTTGCAGGGACAGGATATGGGAGTGGATCTGGGTGGAATGCTCTTCAGAGGGTCATTGTGGGCTCGATGGGCTGAATGGCCTGCTTTCACACTGTAGGGATTCTATGATTCAATGAACTTAAACTTGTAGTGCCCCTAACCAATCTCTGCATCGCTGCTTCCTAAAGTGAACATATTTGCCCCTTCACATCATGACAAAATTACAACTTCTGTCTAAAAATAGACAAAAGAGCTGAACACCAGGGGTGACAGTAACTAACCTTAACATCAATGCAGCATTTCTAACTTCTTTGAGTTTTTGTAGAAATAACAAAGAGGATTGATGAAGACAGAGTGGTGGATGCGATCTATCAGGACTTCAGTAAGATGCTCGACAAGGTTCCTCATGGTAGACTGGTTAGCAAGGTTAGATCATGTGGAATACAGGGAGATCTAGACATTTGGGTACAGAACCGGCTAAAAGTAGAAGACAGAGGGTGGTGGAGGGTTGCCTTCCAGACTGGAGGCCTATGGCCAGCAGTGAGCCACAAGGATCAGTGCTGGGTCCACTGTTTTTTGTCATTTATGTAAATAATTTGGATGTGAACATAGGAGGTATGATTACTAAGTTTGCAGATGGCACTGAAATTGGAGGTGTAGTGGACAGCAAAGGAGGTTACCTCAGAGTACAACAGGACCTTGATCAGATGAGTCAACAGGCTGAGAAGTGACAGACAGAGTTGAATTTAGATAAATGTGAGGTGTTGCATTTTAGAAAGACAAATCAGGGCAGGACTTATAAACTTAATGCTAAGGTCCTGGGGAGTGTTGCTGAACAAACAGACTTTGGAGTAATGGTTCATAGTTCCTTGAAAGTGGAATCGCAGGTAGATAGGATAGTGAAGGTGGTGTTTGGTACGCTTGCCTTTATTGGTCAGTGCATTGAGTATATGAGTTGGGAGATCATGTTCAGGCTGTACAGGACATTTGTTTGGCCACTTTTGCAGTATTGCATTCAATTCTGGTCTCCCTGCTGTAGGAAGGATGTTGTGAGACTAGAAACGGTTCAGAAAAGATTTATGAGGATGTTGCCAGGGTTGGAGGCTTTCAGCTATAGGGAGAGGCTGAATAGGCCGGGACTGTTTTCTCTGGAGCGTCGGAGACTGAGGGGTGACCTAAGAGAGGTTTATAAAATCATGAGGGGCATGGATAGGGTGAATAGTGAAGGTCTTTTCCCAGGGTGGGGAGTGCAAAACTAGAAGGCATAGGTTTAAGGTGAGAGGGTAAAGATATATTTCACACAGAGGGTGGTGCATATATGGAATGAGCTGTCAGAAGAAGTGGTAGAGGCTGGTACAATTAAAAGACATCTGGACAGGTACATGAATAGGATGAGCTTAGAGGGATATGGGACAAATGCTGGCAAATGGGACTAGATCAATGTAGGATATCTGGTCAGCATGGACAAGTTGGACCAAAGGGTCTGTTTGCATGCTGTATACCTTTAACACTCGATAACGAAGTGTGGCATCAAGGATCTGTAGCAAAACTGAGTCAATGGGAATTTGGAGATCCATAAGACCTAAGTAATAGGAGCAGGTGGTGGCCAATTGGTCCCTTGAGCCTGCTCAACAGGATCACAGCTGATCCAACATGCCTAACATTCAATTTCCTGCTCTTTCCTCACAACCTTTGATTTCCCTACTAATCAAAAATCTATGTATCTCAGCCTTAAAGGTATGCAAGGATCCCACCCCAACAGCTTTCTGTAGAAAGGAGTTCCAAAGACTCATAATCCTCCAAGAGAAGCAATTCCTCTTCATGTCACTCTTAAACTGGCATCCCTTTATTCCCAGACTATGCCTCTGATCCTAGACTCTCTCATGAAGAGAAATATCCTCTCAGCAATTACTGTCAAACCCCTTAAGACTCCTATATGTTTCAATGAAATCACTCTCCCTCTAAACTCTAGTATAGTCCCAACTTGTTTAACTTTTGCTCATAAGACAATCCGTCCATACCAGGGATCACCCTCATGAACCTTCTCTAAACCACCTCCAATGAAATATCATCTTTTCTTTAAACAGGGGACCAAAATGCTCACAATATATTTGATGCGGTCTCACCAATAGCTTGTGCAATCACAATAAGACATTTCTACTCAACCCCTTTCAAGTAAAGGGCAACACTACTTTTGCTTTCCTGATTACCTGTTGTCCCTGTGAGCTAGCTTTCTGTTTCATGCACAAGTATCCCCAAGTTCCTTTGTGTTGTATCTTTCTGCAGATTTTCTCCATTTAAATACTCCTGTCTTCTATTCTCCCTTACAAAATGAACAACTTCACATCTTCCCACATTATACTCCATTTTCTTAACTTAAGCACTCACTTAACCTAGCAATATCTCTCTGTTAACTGTTTGCAACTTCTCACAACTCGCCGTTCCACCTATAGTACATTCACTTCTGAGGGTGGGGGGGGGGGGGTCCCTGCTCTGCTCTCGATTGGAGGCATCACACGTAGCACAAAGGAAGATGGCTGCGGTTGTTGGAGTTCAATTATCTTAATTTCAGGACACGTCTGCAGGAGTTTCACAGGGTAATGTCCTCAGCCCAATCATCTTCAGCTGCTTCATCAATGATCTTCCCTCCATCTTAAGACCAGAAGTGTGGACGTTGCACCATTTGCAACTCCTCAGATACTGAAGGAGACCATGTCCAAATGCGGCCCTACCTGAACAGTATCCAGGCTTGGGCTGCAAACTGAGAAGGAACATTCATGCCAAACATATGGAATCTAACGATCACTCCTTGACATTCAATGGTTTTAACAACCCTAATGCCCTAACCATCAAAATCCGAGGGATTACCACTGACTAGAAACTGAACTGCACTAGCCATATTAATACAGTGGTTGCAGGTCAGAAGCTTGGAATTCTGTGACAAATTACTCATCTTTTGATTAGCCTGTCCACCATCTACAAGGTACAAGTCAGGAGTGTGATGGAATAGTCCCCACTGGCCTGGATGGGTACAGCTCCAGCATCCCTCAAGAAGCTTGATGCCATCCAGGACAAAGCAGCATATGATTGGCACCATATCCATGAGTATTCACTTCCACCACCACCAATGCTCAACAGCAGAAGTGTGTACCATCTTCAAGATGAAATGGATAAATTCACCAAGGTCATTAGATAGCACCTTCCAAAACCATGACTGCTACATGATGAACAGTGGTACCCTGGGAAGCATCAAGGATCACAGCGATCTTGACCTGGTTGTAGACATGCTCGCCAAGCCAGTGGGTTTGGTTGTAAATGTTTCGTCACCCTGCTCGGTAACATCGTCAGTGTGCCTCTGGTGAAGCATTGGTGTTGTCCCGCTTGTCATTTATATGCCTCGGTTTGCTGGAAAGATTGGTATTACTTCTGGTTTTGTTTCTCAGTGGTTTGTACACAGAGTCTAATTCAATGTGTTTGCTGATGGAGTTCCAGTTGGAATACCAGGCCTCCAGGAATTCCTTGGTGTCTCTCTGTTTGGCTTGTGCGATTATCGATGTGTTATCCCAGTCGAATTCGTGTCCCTTGTTGTCCATGTGTAGTGAGACAAGTGAGACAAGAGACAAATCAACAAACACATTGAGTTAGACCCTGTGTACAAACCACTGAGAAACAAATCAGAAGTAATACCAATCAGTCCAGTGAACTGAGGCATATAAATAACACTGATGCTTCACTGGAGGCGCACTGACGGTACTCCCTAGCAGGGTGACGAAACGTTTGCAACCAAACCCACCGGCTCGACAAGCAAGTCTACAACCTCATCCACAACCTGAGCTACAAATCTTCTCAGATACTGATCTGCATGTACACCTGCCCCTTAAGGTATCAAGGCATGTAGATAAACTGATGTAGGCATATGGTATACATGCCTTTATTAGTTGAACAAGAGAGTTTGAGCGCAGGGAGGTTAGACTGGAACTGTATAAACCATTGGTTAGACCACCGAGAGTATTCTTGCAGTTCTGGAATTTACTTTACATAGGGAATGTGAACACACTGGAGAGAGTGCAAAAGAGATTTACCACAATGTTGCCTGGTCTGAAGAGTGTCAGTTATGAAGAGAGATGGGACAGACTGGAGTTTTTACTTATAGCAGATGAGATCGATAGGGTACATGATTAAGATCTACAAAATTATGGATACAGTAGACAGGAAGAAACATTTCCCCTTGATGAAGGGAGCAATGAAATGGGACATAGATGTAAGATAAGGGCAGAAGGTTTAGAAGAGATGTGAGGAAAATGTTTTCACCCAGAGGACAGTTGGAATCTGGAACTCACTGCTTTTAGTGGCTGAAGCTGAAGGCCTCATAACATTTAAGTCGTATTTAGATGTACGCTCATGATAGAGAAATACAAGGCTATGAGCCGTGCTGGAAACGGGATTAGAATAGTTTGATGTTTATTTTTGACTGGTATAAACTCGATGGGCCAAAGGGCCTTTTTCTGTTGGTGGCATTCTGTGACTCTAAATCACCAAGCTGTAAGACGATTTATAGAAGTTATTAGAAGTTATGAAGTGCGCACTGGAGGGGCTCAGGAACAAAAAATGTAGGACTGTGTGCATCCTCCCAGTAGAAACTGTATTGGCACTAAAGTTTTGTATGTCTAATCTCTAGAGAGGACTTAAATTTCAGCAACTTCATGACAAGGTGAGACTGCTAATCTGTTGCTGAGCCTTACTCAACTTCATCCAAAACTATCTAAAATAGGTTTCTTTTCCAACAAATAATCCACTGACTAAACAAATACTTTCAATATGTTGTATATCGGGTGAAAATTTTAATCTTCAAGTAGACAATCTCCTATGGCTTTGCATGCAGGGAGTCAAACTATGTTGGGTTAGAAGGGAATACAAGGGCAATACTTGCAGGCATTTTTCTATCCACACCATTAACTTATAGTTAGTTTGATTTTATGTTTTGTTACAATTTCCCATGGCATTGCTCACTATCCACCTCAATACTTTATGTTTTATAACAACACGGGTGTTCTGGTCATACAGGAAAAATGTCTATCTTAATTAAACAGCACTCTCAGATTTACACTGTTCTTTTAGTGCGTGAATTTCACAACATTGTCAATTGTTCTCTGCATGTATCCATTTTGTTGCTTACCATTTTCAAGCTGGGCTATAGAGCAAGTTTATTTAGCATCTCGGGTGTGGAACTGGTGTAACTGTTGGGATGAGGACATGGGATTTACCAGCTTTCAGAGATGGTACTCTGCTTTGGTTGCACAAAGGGAGGAGTCCTGTTGCTTGGTTGAGAAACCTGATGTCACTAATAATGTCACAATATTCGCATAAGATCCTTTGATCTGGGCATCACTGTGAAAGGGAAACCAGAGGCTTGGCAAAGCTGCGCGATGAATTAAGCATTGATTCACTGTTGAAAAACTGGCAACTGCTGCAGTAAAAGATGAGCAGGGGATGTGCTAGCAGTGTTCATTGGGTAGAGGCAAGAATTCTATGTTTAAATACAGCAATTCGAGAGATAGAGTTATAGAGTCATACAGCATGGAAACAGACTCTTCAGCCCAACTTGCTCATGTCGAACAGGTCTCCAAAACTGAAATAGTCCCAGTTGCCTTCATTTGGCCCATATGCCTCTAAACCTTTCCTATTCATGTATTTGTCCAAATGTCTTTTAAATGTAATTGTACTCACCTCTACCACTTTCTCTGGCAGTTCGTTCCATAAATGTATCCCGTCGATATGAAAAAGTTGCTCTTCAGGTCCCTTTTAAATCTTTCCACTCTCACCTTATACCTATGCCTTTTTGGAGCCCCCCTACCCTGGGGAAAAGGCCTTGGCTAATCACCTTATCTATGCTCATGAATTTATAAAGCTCTATAAAGGTCATCCCTCAACCTCCTACACTCCAGGGAAAAGGCTCCCAGCCTATACAGTCCTTACTTATAACTCAAACCGTCTAGTCTCAGTAACATCCTTGTACATATTTGTTTGCACCCTTTCTAGTTTAATAATATCTTTCTTATAGCAGGGTGACCAGAAGGAATCTCGGAGAACATACATCTTTGTTTATCCATCTGTCACTTACATACTCAATCTGTCTACCTGTCTGATTTGATGCATATCTCACAACTGAAAAAAAAATTAATTTATAGTATCCCAACAAAATAGGATTAGTAATTAGTACTTATAAAATTCAAACTTAACAAAGGCCTCTATTTCTCTGTCAATTGATACTAATTGGAATCTTCACAATTTTCTAACCATCAATCCTACACATGATAATTAGAGAAATTTTGTATCAAATCTTTTTTCTGAAGAGTTTTATTAAAATAAAGAAGGGCACTCATACCTGAGCTTAATGCAGTTTGCAACAAGTCAATACAATATGAACTATTTCCATTCAGTGCAAAAAAAAACTCAACATAAACATTGTCTGAATTGCTAACTTGAGATTTATTCTCTCGATCTATTTCAAATAACTTTTTTCTGTGCAAATTTGTTAGAGGTTGTACACAAAGGAAGTTCTGAAGAGGAATTTTTTAATATGTTGTTAATGAATATTTCAAGAAACAAAACAAATAAACAAATTGTTTTTGACCTATAATTAGTGCCTGATTTAATCAAACAATTCCTCAGTACAGTACACTAAAATGGAACATAAACCAGAACATTTAAGCTTCAGTGACTAGTTTATTCTAAATGACTTCATCAGATTAAAAGAAAAATCAATAGCGTCTATGAATGGAGCAAGCTTTAATTTAGATTGCAGGTAAGTGATGGGACATTGTAAATAACAATGTAGCTTGTATTCCTGGACTGAATAGAAAATTGAAATAATGCAGTTCACCTCACTTACATCAAACTAGACTTCGGTGAATTCAAATTATTTTTAGTGCAGTTCAGCAAATGAGGGCAAATCTCCACCCTCCCAGTCAGCAGCTCTGCTGAAGAGGGAGCATAGGCTAGAGTCAGAACCAGCACATGGTAGCCTAATCTTCCAACGCACTCCCCATAAACACAACTTCCTACTGGGTGAAATGAATCAGTGCCATCCAACCATGCAGGACTTAAAAAATGGTGCTGAATGGAACTGGACCCATTTCATCAATCTATTAAGAAACCAAATTTTAGTTTGCAGCGCAGTCAAATTAGGTTTCTCTTAAAGGAATGCACTGCCTTGAAATGTGGTGGAAGCAATTTCAGTTGAGGTAATCAGAAGGGCACTGGATGATTATCTGGATAGAAATAGGGATATGGGGAAAATGTAGATGATTAGCACTAGGCGACGGAAGTAATGCAGACACAAAGGGGCAAATGGCCTCCTTCTGCACCATGACAGTAACTCCCACTTATCTTGCAGCGAATCTAACAGACAGTCTCTGTCGGATAAGTAGCCTGAGCTTTCTGTCAGCACAAAAGCTGCACAAATAGAACAGCTCTGGAGGTAATGAAACATATTTATTTGGATAAAGATAGGTCACCTTCTAGAATAAACAGGTGGCCTTTTCTTTATAAAAAGGTGATAAAACAGGGTTGTTTAGTAAAGCTAAAATACAATTACTATCATGACATAAATCCGGATGCAAAGCAATTTAAGTACAAACAATACCAAAAAATTGAAGGCAGTTGTACTAAGTTCTTCCATAAATGCCAAAAACCAATGAAAGGGTTAAAAATATTTTTGTGCGATCTAATTCTGTTTATTTTAACATTGTTGAAATCAAATTCATTACCTGAACGGCCACATCTTTATCACCAACTTGAACAGTAGCTATGGCTTGTGAAGCCTGTCCATTGACTTCTTTTATACCAAGAACTGCCCTTGTGGTCGATGAACTTGAAGAGTCCAGCAACTCAAATGTCTTAAAAAAACAGATTTTCAACTTACTGATTGTAATGGAAGTGCTGAATCACAAGAAGATCAACAAACATACAACTTAGAACTAGATGGCACTGTTTCAAAGTAAGGGGTCAGCCATTTTAATCCACAATGTCCAAAGAGTCTCGTTCCTCATTGTCCTTAACCAAAAAATGTTTATTCCAAACGGCACAAATATCAGATTTTTTCAAATTTTTTTAAGTATTTGCACTTGTGTTATGTGGCTGCTGATTACACTTGGCTAGCAGTAAAGTATTTTTAAATCAGTGGTGATCTCCCATGGCATTATCTGCAGCCTGAAGCACAGTTACAATGTTCCGTCACTCACCTGGTCTGTACCCCTAAAGTCAATGCTCAGCTAATCCCTGTTGAATTGGGCAACTGGAGGTCAACTGTTCAATAAATAGATCACAATACATCCTACCTACCTTCAATACATCCTTCACTCCAGTTTGACCTTCCTTCCCAAGTATTAAATCATATGGATAAAGCCTGTGAAGCAGTTGCTGGGCAGACAGCATGGGAAACACATCCTGGTCAAAGAGCAGCACATTAATTAAACTGTCTGCAGAATTAAAACTTATTTTGTTATTCTGTTATCAATTGTACATACCATGATCTTAATGACAGCTGCTAAGTTATCCACAGGGAACTCAAAAAGACCAAGGGTTGTGGACTCTTGAGAGCAGAGGGTTGTTGCAAAGGATAACATCTGAGACACTCTGAGAAAGTAGAAATAATACTTTGGTTATAAACCTGCAGGGTCCCAGGCACTAAATATTCGTGTTTTCTTCAGCAGCTAATGTTCTATTTTCATTTTTAGTGGAATTGTGAAAAACTGAACTCCTATTCTGCTGAAACAACACAACACTGCAGTTTGTAGGAACTCTTCTTCAGTGAGATTGAATTTCAAACAAACAATTATGGCACAGAATATTACTTAACAGAAGCAGGAATAGATACATAAATTAGTGTTAGAACACTTGCTGATTTTTATTTATTTTATTCTTTTTATTAATTTGGGTTTGGAACTGAGAGCTGTGAGCTGAAGATGACCTCTGAACTGTGAGCAGCAATTCATGTCAAAATAAAGAGAAAGAAGCTGTTGGTTGTTTGAGAGGCGAGGCCTGGAAGTTGATTGCAGATTGGTTCCTGACCAAAGGATTACAAAGACTCTTGGACACCAAGGAAACTGGCATATTTTCTACCAGATGGCAGATGCTTGGCGATAAACAAGGTCAGTAACTGAGAACTGGTGCTAGCATGTCTGGAAGAGAACATGATGGTCAAACAGAGGAAGGGGTCAGAGAGTTTGAACTGGTCTTTGGGCTATGTTTCTAAGATAAGGAGTTTGTTTGTGAATGTTACAGCATGAAGGACAGCACAATGACTCAGTGGTTAGCACTGCTGCCTCATAGTGCGACAGATCCTGGTTCAATTCTGCCATCGGGCAACTGTGTGGAGTTTGTATATTGTCAGGGAGATGTCATGCGACATGCAGGTTAAGTGGGTTTGCCATCAGGAAATGTGGAGTTACAGGGATAAGGTAGGAGGTGGGTCTGGATGGGATGCTCTTCAGAGTGTTGATGTGGACTCAATGGATGCTTATGCACTGCATGGATTCTGTGATTCTATTCTATTAGCTATTGGAAGTTCAGAGAATAGAAACTAAGATATATGCTATTGAAACTTCCTCAGAGTGAATTGAAAAGGTAGCATTGATTAACGTCTTCAGAAAATCAACCAAGAAACAATGATATATGCTTGAAGAACAACATATGGTGAAAACTGCTTAAGAGATATGGCCAGTTTTGTAATTTTCATTTTCTTAATTTATCTCTTAACTGTGTTTGTTTGTCTGGATGTCTTTTGTGTGGATGGAGCTGAAAACAAAGGCTATTGGATTTAAATCATAGACATTAATTAGATTACTTCATAGTCTAATTTTGCCCTGCTAAAGTTACTGTTAATTATTAATCGTTAATAAATTATTAAGGCTTTTGTTTAAGCTACAAATGAAATTGAAAATTCACAAAGTCTGAGATTGGTTATTCGAAAAATTTGGTTAGGAACCATTGGGGCCCAATATTAGGGTCTATGTATGTTTTAATTCTACTGTGTTGCAAATACAGAGGTACAGATTTGATTTGACAGTCTGTCTCCATTTTTAACACTAAAGGAAAGAGACACAAGAGTCCAATTCTTACTGAAATGTAGTTCACTCAAAGCTCTTCAAGCACACTAGCAATATAATGAGACTACTGCACAATTTCCATTTATATAACAGCTTTAACCTAGAAAAACAGCTAACCCAGAATCCACAGATTGAAAGGTAAAAAGGAACAGACATAGAGACAAAGTGACAGTTAAAAGTACCTGAGAGCTTGGTCAAAGAGGAGGAGGTTTCCTAGTTCATGAGGAAGTATACAGGTTTAGGCGAAGTCTGTAACCTCTTTATGCTTTTCAATCATCTGAAATTATTCCATACAGTACTGTCGAGAATCTCTTGTCTTTTGCTCCACCAATGGTTGCCATGCCTTCCACACTTCCTACACTCTGGAATTCCCTCCTTAACCCTCTCTTTCTCTCAGCCTGATCAGGAAGTCAAATGGAATGTTGGCATTTATTACAAGGGAATAGAATTTTAAATTGGAAAATATTGCTACAGCTGTACAGGGCATTGGGGAAATGACATCTGGAGCACAGTGTGCAGTTTTGGTCTCCTCATTTTAAAAAGATAGAATTGCTTCAGAAGCAGTTCAGAGAAGGTTCACTCGAGTCATTCCTGGAATGAAGGGCTTATCTAATGAAGAAAGACTGAACAGATCAAGGTCTATACAGTGTGGAGCTGGAGGAACACAGCAGGTCAGGCAGCATCAGAGGAGCAGGAGAGTCAACAATACTTGTTATAGTTTAAAATAATGAGAGATGATCTTATTCAAACGTAAAATTTCTTGAGGAAACCTGACAGGGTGGAGACAGGAGTTTGCTTCCTCTTGCAGCAAGAGAAAAACTAGGGGACATATTTTAAGAAAGGGTCTCCCTTTTAACACAGGGAAAAAGAGAAACCTTCTGTCAGAGGGTTAGGACAGTGTGGAATTCTCTTCCACAGAAAGTAGAGGACGCTGGGTTTGCAAATTCATTCAAGGCTGTCTGGATGTAGCTGGTTAGTTTCATTTTTAGACTTTTGACAGACAAGGGACTTGCGGGTTATGAATGTAGACAGGAAAATGGAGCTGAGACTACATTCAGATCAGCTGTGATCTTCTTGAATGATGCAGCAAACTCAAAGAGCTGAAAAGCCTACTGCTGTCTCTAAGGTCGTAATCTTTAACAGCATTTAAAGTTTTAGCAAAGATTTGAGGTTGCTGGCTTGTTTTTGTTCAGACGTTTCGTCACCATGCTAGGTGACATCATTAGTGAGGCCTCCGATGAAGCGATGTTGTTCTACTCCACTTTGAATTTACACTGTCTGGTCCGTTATGGTGAGTAGTGTCATTTCCGGTTTTGATCTATATGGGTTTGTATATGGGGTCCAATTCTATATGCTTGTTGATTGCATCATGGTTTGAGAACCATGCGTCTAGGGATTCCCGTGCGTGTTTATGCTTGGCTTGGGCTACTACAGTTACATTGTCCTAGTTAAATTGATGGCCTTCATTGTCCAAGTGTACTGATATTAAGGAAAGTTTGTCGTGACATTTTGCTGCTAGCTAACGTTCATGTATTCTGATGGCTAGTTTCCTTCCTGTCTGTCCGATGTAATGTTTATGGCAGACATTGCATGATATTTTGTAAACCATGTTGGTTCTGCATCTTGTGGGAATGGGATCTTTAATCCTTATGAGTGTTTTTCATACAGTGTCTGTGGGCTTGTGTGCTACCATGATTCCTAGTGGTCATAAGAGTCTCGTTGTCAGTTCTGGTATGTTCTTCATGTAGGGTAGTGTGGCCAGTGTGTTAGGGCATACTGTGTCCTCTTATTGTCTATTTAGTGGGCACCTGCGGATGAGGTTGCGGGGATATCTGTTCATAGCGAAGATTTTGTGTTGGTGTTCTTCCTCTTTCCTGCATAGTTCTGGAGTGTTGCAGTGAGTTATGGCCTGTTTAAATAGTGTCCTAATGCAGCTTTGTTTGTGGACTTATCTAGTGATTTTCCCTCTGATGTGTTCAGGGTGTCTGATTCTTTCCTTCTGTGTAGTGTGGGGATAATAGTTTGTTGGATGGCTTGTTGTGTTTCATCCGTGAGTCTAGTGTCTTTTTGTCAATAGACAATTGGAGGAAACAGTATGCCCTAACACACTAGTCACACTGCCCTATATCAAGAACATATTAGAACTGATGAGAATCCTAAGACCACTAGGAATCATTGTAGCACACAAGCCCACAGCCTCTCTACGACAAATACAAGGATCAAAGACCCCATTCCCACAATATGCAGAACCAACGAGGTTTACAAAATACCATGCAACGACCGCCACAAACATTACATCGGTCAGACAAGAAGGAAACTAGCCATCAGAATACATGAACATCAGCTAGCAGCAAAATGACATGACAAACTTTTCTTAATATCAGTACACTCGGACAATGAAGGCCATCAGTTTAACTGGGGCAACGTGACTATAGTAGCCCAAGCCAAACATAGACACAATGGGAATTCCTAGATGCATGGTTCTCCACCCATAATGCAATCAAACATATAGAATTGGACCATATACAAACCCATACAGATCAAAACCAGAAATGATACTACTCACCATAATGGATCAGACAGTATAAATTCCAAGCAGAGTAGAATACCATCGCTTCAGCGGAGGCCTCACTGATGATGTTACCTAGCATGGTGATGAAACGTCTAAACGAAAACAAGCCAGCTCAGCGAGCAAGTCAACAACCTCTTTAACAGCATGTTGAACATAGTATGGCTCAACTTTGGTAATGCACCCTTAAAGATTCATCAATTAGGAAGAAAAGAATGAAATAGACAGGCAGTTAATAAAGGAGGTCAGCAGCTAAATGCATTCAGAGACTCTTGGTGGTTGTGCAAAGAGCTCTGTAGGGACCAGTTATTGGGATGCCCATGAGATTCAGTGATTTGAAACTGTCTGTTAAAAATCAAAACACTGGTGTCCAGGATGATTAAAGAGAAAGCAGGCAGACCATAGAATATAGCCACACAAAGACAGAGAGAGATACTAAAAGAGGAGAACAAATGTTGACTCACTCATGCTAACTAACATGTCCATCTGGTTTGTGTCTCTGTGTCTGCACAATAAATAAAATATCCGTAAACAGTCATACCTTTCAGACCGTACATTTGGTCCAACAGCATACAAGACTGCCAACTGATCCTGGAAAAGTCATAAATATGAACATTATCAATACAATACAAGAAGTGAAGCTTTCTGCTGGCTAACTCAGAATTCCTTCAAGCTACAAATTCCAACTCCTCCATATTTTCTCCTGTGAACTCTGCCTGCTCCTCCAGCCACTCATGGTGGGATATCAAAACCTACAAGTGAATCTCAGAAGATGGGTAAATTTGACACCCAATACTTTCAAACTTCTTCTCCCGCCTACCCCGCCATGGCCTGTGACCAGCAGTGTTTCACATGGATCAGTGCTGGTCCAACTTTTGTTTGTCATTTATATAAGAGATTTAGATGAGAATATAGAAAGTACGGTTGATAAGTTTGCAGATGGCATCATGATTGGTGGTATAGTGGACAGTAAAGAAGGTTATCTAAGATGACACAGAGATCTTAATCAATTAGGTCAGTGGGCTGAATAGTGACAAATGGAGTCTAATTTGGATAAATGCAAAGTATTGCATTTTGGTAAAACAAACAAACGCAAGACATATACAATTAAAAGTAGGGCCTTGGGCAGTGTTGTAGAACAGACAAACCTAGGGGTTCAGGTACATAATTCTTTGAAGTTTGCATCATATGTAGAAAGGGTGGTTAAGGTGTTTAGCATGATCATTGCTCAGACCTTTTTAGTATAGGAGTTGGGACATTATGTTAAGGTTGTACAGGACCTTGATGGGGCTTCTTCTGAAGTACTGTTCTAGTTCTAGTCATCTAGATATAGGAAGGCTATTATTAAGCTGGACAGGATGCAGAAGAGATTTACCAGCATGTTGCTGGGAATAGACGGTTTGAGTTATAAGGAGATTCATAGTGATGTACAGCATGGAAACAGAACCTTTGGTCCAACTTGTCCATGACAACTAGAAATCCAAAATTAATCTAGTCTCATTTGCCAGCATTTGGTCCATTTACCTCTTAAACCCTTTCTATTCATGTAATTGTCCAAATGTCTTTTAAATGGCGTAATCATATCACTTCCTCTAACATTTCCTCTGGCAGCCCGTTCCATATATGCACCACCCTGTGTTAAAAAGCTGCCCCTCAGGTCTCTTTTAAAACTTTTCCCTCTCACCTTAAACCTATGCCCAAGGGAAAAGGACTATTCACCCTATCCGTGCCCCTCATGATTTTATAAACCTCTATGAGGTCACCCCTCAGCCTCTGACGCTCCACAGAAAATTACGCCAGCCTATCCAGCCTCTCCAGCCTCTCCCTATAGCTCAAACCCTTCAACCCTGGCAACATCCTCATAAATCTTTTCTGAACTCTTTCAAATTTAACTAAATCCTTCCTATAGCAAAGAGACCAGAATTGAATGCAGTGTTCCAAACGTGGCCTCACCAATGTCCTGTACACCCACAACATGATATCCCAATTCCTATATTCAATGCACTGACGAATAATGGCAAGCGTACCAAATGCCTTCTTCATTATCCTGTCTACCTGCAACTCCACTTTCAAGAAACTATGAACTTGCACTCCAAGGTCTCTTTACTCGGCAACACTCCCCAGGACCTTACCATTAAGCATAAGTGTTCTGTCCTACCAAAAACGTAGCACCTCACATTTATCTAAATTAAACTCCATCTGCCAACACCTCAGCCCATCAGCCCATCTGATCAAGGTCCTGTTGTACTCTGAGGTAACCTTGACATGTGACAAGGCTGTCACTTTCAAAGGTTACTTTGCCCTTTTTGTTTGAAGAGAGTTTGTAAGGCAAAGGTTAGAAATAGGCTACTGAAGACAACTTGTGAGGCCTGGCGTTTTTACTTAAAAACAGCCTGAATGGGTGTGGCCAGCCTTCTCAGATCCAGATTTCTGGGTTTTGGTTTTTTTTCTTCAATAACATCAGAAGCCTTTGGGGTCTGGAAAGAGTTGGAAGTTTCAGTGAATATCTCCTGGCTGCTACACTCTGAATTTTCTCTTGATGTTTCTTCCCTCCTGGTTTGGCGAACGACACGTGAGAATCTGCGTCTGAATAGGCCTTTTTGCCAAGGGGTGTGTTTATGGAATGTTACTATATTGGAATAGTTAATTAGTAATACTCACTGTACCTGCTATTCGGTCAAGTTTTTCCAATAGTTGTTATTCTAAATTGCTTTCATTTCTTTCTCTTTTAACTATAGTGTTTAAATAAATTGTGTTTTGCTTGACGTTGAGCAGTTTGACCAGTCATACTGCATCTGGAACACGGTACTTCACATCTACCATTAATACAAGAAAAAGTTAAGGTCTAGATTATGTTCTTAAAATATATTGAGGGAGTCTGGTCTGGTCTGGTCTGGTCCATGACACCTGACTTACAGCATTAATATACATTCCTTTAAAGTGCAGAAACTCAAAAAGCATCAATCAAGCATGGCTAACAAAGGAAGTTCAGGATTATAAACTAAAGGACTGTAAAAGTAAAAGCCTATAAAGTTGCCAGAGAAAACAGTAACGTTGAGAATTGGGTGGTTTACAAAATACAGCATAGCAGGACCAAGAAATTGATACCAAAAGGGAGAACAGAGAATGAATTCACAAAGGTGAGCCAAATGGACATAGTATACTTAGATTTTTAGGAAGCTTTTGATTAAGTTTCCCACAGGAGGCTGGTTAAAAAAGTTAAAACGTATGGGATGGGGGTAATGTACTGGCATGTTTTAATGGTTGGCTGAGAGACAGAAAACAGAGGATTAGAATAAATGGTTCATTCTCACATTGGCAAGCTAAGAGTAGTGGGGTACTGCAAGGACCACTACTCGGAAACCAGATGTTCATCTTATATATCAATGATTTGAAGGTGGGAACCAAATGCAATAGTTCCAAATTGTGGATGTTACAAAGTTAAATCTAATGAAACAGAGTCAGCATGGCTTCATGAAAGGGAAATTGCATCTGACTAATTTAAGAGAATTATCTCAGGAAGTCTCAACCAGAGTCAATACAGGGGAACCAGCAAACCTGTGTGTTTGGACTTCCAGAAGGCATTCGACAAGTTGCTCACAAAAAGTTAAGTCATAAAGTAAGAACCCAGGTATAGGTACAGCATTGGCTAATGGGCAAGATACAGCAAATTGAGATGAGGCTCTTTTTCAGGTTCACAACCTGTTACTAGTGAGGTTCCACACGGATCAGGGTTTACAGTATACATTAATGACCTGGAGGAAGGAAGCAATGTACTAGGGCCAAATTTACAGATCACACAAAATAGGTGGTAAGGAAAGTTGTGAAATGGATTCAAACATCTTACTGAAATATATTAATAGATAAGTAAATGAGCAAGAAGTTGGTAAATGAAGTATAATGTGGGAAAATATAAAGTTGTGCAGTTTGGATGGAAGAATAAAAATACAGATTTTATTTTAAATGCAGAAAAGCTATAGATAGCTATAAGACAAAGGGACTTAGGGTTACCCGTGTGGGAAACACAAAATGCTAACACATAGGTCCAACAGGTAATCAGAAGACTAATGGAATGTTGACCCTTATTTAAAGGCAGTTGGAATATGAGTAGGAATGTCTTATTGCAACTGTATAAGGTGCTGGTGAAATAACATTTTACTAAAGAGCATTTTGGTCCCCTATTTAAAGATATTATTTCATTGGAGGCAGTTCAGAGAAGGTTAACAAGGTGTAGAGCTGGATGAACACAGCAGGCCAAGCAGCATCAGAGGAGCAGGAAAGCTGACGTTTCGGGTCAAGACCCTCCTTCAGAAAAAAAAAGGCTGCTTGGCCTGCTGTGTTCATTTAGCTCTACACCTTGTTATCTCAGATTCTCCAGCATTGGCAGTTTCTACTATCTCTGTCACAAGGATGATCCCTGGTATGGAGGACAATCTTGTGAGCAAAAGTTAAACAGGTTGGGATACTATTCATTGAAGTTTATAAGAATGAGAGATGGTCTCATTGAAATATGTAGATTCTTAAACGGCTTGACAGGATAAATGCTGCATTGTAGCCAGCCTAACTGTAATCTTTCAGAGTTCCCTAGCCATAGGAATTGTCCCTCTAGATTGGAAAATTGCACACGTTATTCCACATTTTAAGGGCAAAAGAGGGAAACCAGAGTAATTTATGGCAATGGACAAAGAAACGTCTTAGATGTTGTTTATATGGACATCCAGAAAGCATTTGATAAAGTCCAACACAACAGACTTGGAAATAAGGTAGAAGCCCTCGGAACTGAAGGTAAATTACTGACATGGCTGGGAAATTGGTTGAGCAGCAAATGACAGAAAGTAGGGATAATGGATAGTAGATACTCAAATTGGCACACTGTGACCAGTGGAGTTCCTCAAGGATCTGGATTACAGCCTCACTTATTTACATTAAGTGTTAATGACTCGGATATTGGCATTATAAGTCATATATCCAAATTTGTTGATGACACAAACTGAGGCAGTATTGTTGACAGTTTAGATGTTAGCTTAAAATTATAAAGGAATATTGATAGACTAAGTGAATGGGCAAAACTGTGGCAGACGGATTTCAATGTAAGCAAAACATTGGTTATCCACTTTGGACACATCAGGGTATTTTCTAGATAGTATGAAGTTAAATTCAGTGGAAATTTGGGGGTTCAGTTGCATAGATTTTTAAAAAGGCTTTAAAAAGGTACAAAAAATAATTTAAAAAGCTAATGGAATACTGGCCTTTATATGCAGAGGACTGGAGCAATGAAGATGCAGAAATAAGACTGTAGTTAAACAAAACCCTGGTTAGACCCCACTTGGAATACTAACAGCAGATCTGAGCACCATACCTTAGCCTTGGAGGGAGTACAAAATTAGTTTACAAAAATGAAACCTGGGCATCAGGGTTATGTCACAAGAGGTTTTATACAAATCAGGTTTGCTTCCTCCAGAAGTTATAAGGTTAAGGGGTGATCTGATTGAAATCTTCAAGATATGAAGGAGAGTTGGTCAGGTAGATAAAGATAAACTGTTTCCATGGATCAAGGATTCCATAACTTGGGGGCAGAGTCTGAGAATTAGAGTCAGACCATTCAGGAGAGATGTTAGCAAGCAATTCTACATACACAGGGTGGTAGATTTTTGGGACTGTCTTCCACAAATGGCAGTGGATGCAGGATCTGTTGCTAATTTTAAATCTGAGATAGATAAATTAAGAAAAGGTATTAAGGAATAAGGGCCAAAGGCATGTATGTACAGTTAGGCCACTAATCAGCCATGATCGCACTGAATGGCAGAAAAGGCTTGAGGGACTGAATGGCCTACTCCTGCTCCTACGGGTGAATCTAGAAACAGAGGGCATGGTCTCAGAAGAAAGGGGTGCAATTTAAAACTGAGATGAGGAGGAAATTCTTCTCAGAGGTTGAGTGTCTTTGGAACGCCTTGCAACAGAGCGGCAGAGTCCTTAAGGCAGACAGATAGATTCTTGAACAGTAGGGGAATCAAGGATTATGGGGAAACGACAGGAAAGTAGATGTGAAGATCAGCCATGATCCTATTGAATGGCAGGGCAGTCTCCACGGGCTGAGTGGCCTACTCCTGTTCCTATTTCTTATGGTCTTAAATGGGATGTTAATTGTGAGGAAGTTGTAATGCAGTTTCAGGAGGATTTGGACAGGGCTAGTAAATTATTTTTATTTACTGATGGACATCGCTGGCTGGGCCAGTATTTATTGTCAATCCCTAGTTCCCCTTGAGGAGGTGGTGAGCTGCCTTCTAGAAACATTACAATCTATGTGCTGTAGGTCGACTCACAATTCCGTTAGGGAGGGAGTTCCAGGATTTTGACTCAGCAACACTGAAGGAACAGTGATATATTTCCAAGTCAGGACGGTGTATCTTGGAGGTAAACTTGCAGGTTCCCAAGCATCTATTGCCCTTATCCTTCGAAATGGTAGTAGTCACGGGTTTGGAAGGTGCTGTCTAAGGTGAATTTCTGTGGTGTATCTTGAAGATGGCACACACCTGCCGCTACTGAGCGTTGGTGGTAGAAAGTGTGAATGTTTGTGAATGCAGTGCCAAATAATTAGGCCACTTTGTCCTGATGGTGGTAAGTTTCTTAAGTGTTGTTGGAGCTGCACTCATCCAGGGAAGTGGGGAATATTCCATCACACACCCAACTTATGCCTTGTAGATGGTGGACTGGCTTCCGAGAGTCAAACAAGATTCCTAGCTTCTGATTCGCTCTTGCAGTCACAGTGCTTGTATGCCTAGTTAAGTTCAGTATTTCATCAATAGTAACCCCCAGGATGTTAACAGTGGGGCATTCAGTGCAGGGTTACAGGAAGAGGGTAGGGGTGCGATCAGTCTGGTTGGGATGCTCTTCAGAGGGTTGGTGTGGACTCAATGGGCTGCTTGCCCACTGTAGGGATCCTATGATTCTAAGACTGAACTTCAAAGAAACCTGTGTTCATCTCAGTCTTAAACTGGCAGCCCTTTATTCTGAGACCACATGCTCTGGTAATACATTTTCCATAAAGGGCAACATCCTTTCAGCATTTACCTTGTCAAGGCCCTTAAGAATCCAATATATTTCAATGAAATAATCATCTCTTTCTTCAAAACTCCAGTGAGTCTATTTCCAACTGGTTTAGCTTTTGGTCATAAGACAATCTCTCCATAATGGGGATCATTCTCTGAACTGCCTCCAATGAAATGGTATCTTTCCTTAAATAAGGATTCCAAAACTGCTCACAGTGCTCTGGATGCGGTCTCACCAGCAACTTGTACAGTTTCAGTAAGACTTTCCTACTCTAATACTCCCACCCCACTGAAAGAAGGGCCAATGTTCCATAATCCTCCCTGATTACCTGCTGCAAATTTGTGCCAGCTTTCTATGTTTTGTGCACAAATAGAACCTGGTTTCTTTGCTTTGCTGAAGTTTTTCTCTATTTAAATAATACTGTTCTTTTGGTCTCTCTTCCAAAATAACGTTCATATTTTCCCACATACACTTCAATTGCTAACATTTCGCCCACTTACATAATCTATTAATATTCCTCTCTAAACTGTTATTATTCCTCTCTACAAAATTTAAATAAAATGCTATTGACATTAAACAGAAATCAAAAGTTTATACGAATAATTTAACATAAATACCTAGGTTTGCTTTTGGTTACAAGGGTCTATGAGCATGTCCCTCTCGCAACCTGCCATTCCACCTATTTTTGTGTCATCTGCAAATTTGGCTACAGTACATTCATGTCTTTCCTCCAATTCATTAATATATATTGTAGTCATTTGCAGTCTCAGCACTGACCACTGTGGAACCCCGCTGGTTAAAGGTCGCCAACCTGACAAAGGAATCTCTTATCAACTTATTCAGTGATGGTTTGATTCTCCTTTGTTGGAGATGTCATTGCCTAGTACTTGTCTGGATGGGAAGGAACATAGCCGATGGATAATAAAGTGGAAAAATGTGTTGTTATCCACTTTGGTTTGGAGAAACAAATGTGCAGCATATTACTTAAACGGTATGAGGTCAGAAAGCGTGGATGTACCTAGGACCTAGGTGTCATTGCATACAAGTTGCTGAAGGCTAATTTGCAGGTGCGGCAAGCTATTAGATAAGCTAATGGGATGATAGTCTTTATTGCAGGAAGATTAGAGTACAGGGGTAGTGAAATTTGCTTCAATTGTATAGGAACTTGGTTAGACTGCACCTGGAGCATTTTGTGCTGTTTTCGTCTCCTTATCTCAGCAAACCAATTATTGCTACAGAGGGAGTGTAACAAAGATTCATTGGACTGTTCCCAGAATGGCAGAAATGTCTTATGAAAAAGATTGGGCAAACTGGGCCTGCATTCTCCAGAGTTTCAAAGAATAAGAGGCGATCTAATTGAAACTTACAAAATACTTAAAGGGATAGAGATGGTAGGTGTTTCCCCTAGTTGGGAAGTCCAGAACTAGGAGTTCAGTTTAAAAGTAAGGGGGATATCTCTTCAATCCTGGATGAAGAGTTTTTTTTTTAAAACTCAGAGGGTTGTGAACCTTTGGAATTCTCGACCACAAAGGACTGTGAAGACGCTGTCTTAGAGTATGTCTTAAAGATTGATAGATTTCTGATTACCATGGGTGTACAAGGTAATGGAGATGGGGTGGATAAAAGGCACTGAAGTGCTTAATCAGCTGTCATGGTACTGAGTTGCGAGCAGGCCCTACAGGCTGAATGGCCTACTCCTGTTCTTCTGTTTCAAGAACTACAGCTCAATTATCCAAAACTTCTCCAACAAAAATACAATTAATAAGAAAGATTATGAAATACTTATTTGTAAAATCATAGGTACTCTACAGCGTGGAAGCAGGCTATTTGACCCATCGAGTCCACACCTACCCTCTGAAGACCATCCCGACCCAGACTCACCCCCTACCCTATCCTTGTAACACTGCATTTCTCACGGCTAATCTACCTTGCCTGCACATCCCTGGACACTATGGGCAATATAGCATGGCCAGTCCACCTAATCTGCACATCTTTGGTCTGTGAAAGGAAACCCACGCAAATACTGGGAGAATGTGCATACTCCACACAGACAGTCACCCAGGGCTGGAATTGAACCCGGGTCCCTGGTGCTGTGAGGCAGCAGTGCTAAGCACTGTGCTGCCCCAATTTATTATCAATGCATTTCTTGTATTGCAAAAATTAATGCACCACTAACTAACTAAGATCAAATTCACAAAGGCACTATTCTTAATTGTGCAGAATGTAGAGAGCATTAAGTTTACATGAAAGCATCTACTGATGTCATCGTTTTGTTTGAAGGTTAAAGGTTACCTTAAAAGGCAGGCTATAAATGTCCCTGGCCTGAAACCTTGAACGAAGCGGAGGATCGAGAGGGTTTCCAGGATACCTCGGAACTGGTAGACCCAGGGCTATTACTCTGAAATCCTCACTAACTCGCACAATCTTCCACGCATTTAGCTCCTCCTTTGTATGATCCTGTACAAAAAGTAGCACATTAATGAAATTAACGATGCTTTTCAGCTGAACAGCTGGAAATTCGAAGCAAGTTAGGCAGCAACTTTAGTGCATGGCAGGTTCTTGCAGCTCAACAGTACCATTTCAGACAAAAAGTTGTAGGATCAATGCACATTCCTGCACGTTGCACCAGTATGTCGGTGCAGTAGTGAGCAAGTGCAACATCAGAGGAACAATTCTTCAAATAATACATTCAGCTGAAGTTCAATTTGCTTGTTAAGCATCTCCGGTAAAAGCTAAAAATACCATAGTGAGATTAAAAGATGAGGAAAGTCTCCATTGTCCTAGCCAATACTTCTTCCCAACAAATACTGCCAAAAACGTATTAGTTGTTCAGCTTACAAATTACGAAGCATAGAAAATAGTGGAGATATTCGAACACACTGACTCTAAAAGATTCATTTTATCCACGAAGGGCTTGGAGATTTTCTGGCAGACTTCCTTTTGCTGTTTTCTTGTGATGTGGGTATCATTTGCAAGGCCAACACATTTTGCCCATTTCTAACTGCCCTTGAACCCTCTACTGGCTTGCTTGGCTCTTTCTGAAGAAATGTAAAAGTTAGTCACAATTCTGTAGGTCTGAAGTCACATGTAGGCCAGACGGGCTAAGAGCATCAGATTTCCTTTTGTTCAACCTGCTGTGCCAGGATTTGAACCCATACCCCCGAAGCATGGTCTGGCCCTCCAGATAACTTATGCAGCAATAGTACCATCGCACTACCATCTCTCCAGGAGGAACCAAACAAAACCATTCTTATGCATCTGCCCCTCCATCTCCCTCTCCTCCACAAGGAATCTTCTTAAAACCTAGCTACTCCATCAAGCTTTTGATTACCCCACCTAGTAGCTCGCTTTGCATCATTTGCCATTGTTTTCGTACGTCATTAGGATATTGCTCAACATTGAATGTGCCATTTAAATCCAAAGTGCTAAATTGGGCCTGTAATCAAAACTGGCATAATGAGGTAGATGGCTCAGTTCACAAAGGTAATGAAAACAAAAGAAAGCTGTGGCAGTCCAGGAGAAAGATCAAGAGTTGAGCATTTGATTGAAAAGGTAACTAAAATAGAACACATATTAAACTGCTAGAAGGTTTGTAAGTCATCTTGTAAAAAGGCACTGGAAACAAAGTCATGAATGAATGCAAAATACTGGATTGGATTAAGGAATTAGTCTCCCTTGGTCTTCATGTTGGAATCTCTCTCTCATACCGCATGGACAGTCACCAGAGTCATGAAAGACACATGGTAGGTCTGTGGAACAAACCTTCAGCAAGTAATGTGATGGAAATTGTCAACAGTTCTATCATGCAGTTACCAATGCTCAGGAGCAGCCATATGTAATATCTACGAGATGCACTGCAAAATTCAAAGATCCTCAGACAGCATCTTCCATAACCACAACCACTACCATCTAGAAGGACAAGGGCAGCAGTTAATGGGAACCCTGCCATCTGAAACCTTTTTCCAACCACTCACTATCCTGACTTGGAAAAATATCACAGTTCCATCAGTGTTGCTGGGTCAAAATCCTGGAATTCCCTCTTCAACCACATTGTAGCAAAATAACTGCAGCGCTTTAAAAAGCTAGCTCACCAACACCTTCTCAAAAGCGACAAGGGATGGGCAATAAATGCTGGCCTGGCCGGCAAAATCACATCCTCTGAATGAATTTTTGAAAAATCTTATGATTCACCTGTGATAGCAACTGAGTGACAAAAGTGAGTAAGATAGGTCAGAGAACCAGCAGAAGAGAATAGAAATAAACATTCAAAGCGAAGAAAATGGCTGGAGGGACAAAGTAAAAAGCGGAAATGGCAAAGCTCTGTTAGTGGAGATACATTTGATATTGAGATGGAATACGAAGGGAACAGAAACATTGGAGCCACAATGTAGGGCTCTCAGCATGGGTTGGGAAATACTCCACAGAGCCTCAACATTCTACCAGAGTAAAATTCAACTTAAATATTAAATAATTATTGAAGCAGGGTTCTGTTCTTATTCTTAGTAAACTATGCAAGCATGCTTGATGCAAATTAATAAATTACACATGTCTGATATGATTCATTAGTCAGTCTTTACAACAACCTATCACATTTTCCAAGCAAATAAATAGCAGAAAGTAACAAGCACAACGGGAGCTCATTATTATACAGAAAGCATCTGGATCAATGTTATTTTTGTATTAACACATGGAATGCAGGCATCATCGTCCAACCCTAATTTACCTCAAGAATGCTGTAATGTTCCCAGGGTGCTGGTAAGAAGGGAGTTCCAGCATTTTATTCCAGCAACAAAGAATAGGTGGCGATATATTTACAACTCGGGATGGTGAAGGGCTTGGAGGTGACTTTGCAGAAGCTGGTGCTCCTGTGGTTGGGTAAAAGGAAAATCAGTCCTGATCTGACATTAGACATGCAATGTTTTGGCTCCCGTATTTTAAAAAGGATGTACTGGCATCGAAGGTAGTTATAAAGAGATTGACCAGGCTGATTCGTAGGAGGAAGGAGTTGACTTAGGCCTTTATTCATTTGAGTTCAGAAGAATGAGGGGCGATCTTACAGAAACTCAAGATTTTGAACAGTGTTGGCAGGGTTGACGTTAAGATGATGTTTCCATGAGTAGAGGAATCTCAAACTAAGGGGCGTAGTTAGACCATAAGAAATGGGAACAGAATAGGTTACTCAGCCCCTCAAACCTGCTCCGTCATACAATTTGACTGATCCGACACTCCTTATGTCTACTTTCCTGCCTTTTCCCAACAGCCCTAGACTCCCTCACTGATCAAGATCTACCACAACCTTAAATATGCACAAGGACTCCACCCCCAAAGCTCTCTGAGGCAAGACGTTCTAAAAGGGCATCACGGTTGCTCAATGGTTAGCACTGCTGCCTTACAGCACCAGGGACCTGGTTCAATTCCGCCCTCAGGCAGCTGTCAGTGTGGAGTTTGCACATTCTCCACGTGTCTGCATGGGTTTCCTCCAGGTACTCCTGTTTCTTCACACAGTCCAAAGATGCGCAGTTAGGTGGTTTGGCCATGCTAAATTGCCCACAGTGTCCAGGGATGTGTAGACTAGGTGGATTAGCAATGGGATTCGCAGGGTTAAAGGGATTGGGTAGGGAGTGGATCTGGGTAGGATGCTCTTCAGAGTGTCGGTGTGGACTTGATGGGCCGAATGGCCTGCTTGCACATTGTAGGGATTCTATGATTCTAAGACTCAACTTCAAAGAAACCTGTGTTCATCTCAGTCTTAAATTGGCAGCCCTTTATTCTGAGACCATGCACGCTGATAATAGATTTTCCACAAGGGGCCACATCCTCTCGTATTTACCCTATCAAGCTCCTTAAGGATTCAATATATTTCAATGGAATCATCATCTCATTCTTCAAAACTCCAGCGTGTAGATTTTCAACCTATTTAGCTTTTGTTCATAAGACAATCTCTCCATAACAGGGATCATATTGGTGAATCTTCTCTGAACTGCCTCCAATGAAATAATATCTTTCCTTAAATAAGGGTTCCAAAACTGCTTACAGTACTTCAGATGTGGTATCACCAGCACCTTGTACAGTTGCAGTAAGACTTCGCTACTCTTATACTTTAACCCCCTTGAACGATCAAAGTTCTATAATCCTCCCTGACGACCTGCTGCACCTTTGTGAGATCTTTCTATGTTTTGTGCACATACCCTAGTTCCTTTGTACTGCAGCTTTCCGCAGTTTTTCTCCATTTAAGTAATACTGTTCTTTTGATCTCCCTGATAAAAAGAACAAATTGACATTTTCCCACATTATACTTCAATTGTTATCTTTTTGCCCACTTACATAACCTATTAATATTCCTCACTGTAAACTGTGTGCATTCTTCTTGCAACCTGCCTTTCCACCTCTTTTAGTGTCATCTACAACTTGGCTACAGTGCATTCACTTCGTTCCTCCAATTCATTAATATATATAGTAATCAGTTGCAGTCCCAGCACTGACCCCTGTGGAACCCCACAGGTTACTGGTCACCCCAACCTGAAAAAGAATTCCTTTATCCCCATTCGCTGCTTCCTGCCCATTAGCCAAGTCTCTAAACATGTCAATATATGACATTCAACACCATGGGTTCATTTCTTATGATTTATTCTTTAGTGAGGTACCTTGTTGAACGCCTTCTGGAAATCCAAATACAACACATCTTCTGATTCCTCTCTATCCACTCTGGCAGAGACTTCCTCAAAACAACTCTAATAAATTAGTCAGCCATGATGTCTCTTTCATGAAGCCATGCTGACTCTGTTTGACTAGATTATGATTTTCCAAATGTTCTGTTATTACTTCTTAATAATTCATTACAATGTTTTTCCAACAACAGATGTTAAGCTATTCTGCCTATAGTTAACTGCCTTTAGCCTCACTCCCTTTTTGAGTAGGATTGTCACACTGGCAGTTTTCCAATTCTCTGGTACTTCTCCAGGATCTAAAGATTTTTGGAAAATTATAACCAATGCATCCGCTATCTCTATAGCTAATTCTTTTGGGATCCTAGGTTGCAAGCCATCAGGGCCAGGGGACTTATCTGCCTTTAGCCCCATTAGTTTGTCTAATGCTACTACTCTCGTGATGGTGCTCGTACTTAATTCGTACCCGTATCCTCTTACTATTAATGGGATATTCAAATTATCTTCCATTCTAAAGACTGATGCAAAATATCTGTTTAACTCCTCTGCCATTTCCTTGTTCCCCATAGCTACCTCCCCAGATTCATTCTCGAACAGGCCTATGTTCACTCTGACCTCTCTCTTCTTTCATATATATTTAAAGATCATAGAAGATCATAGATCATAGAATTCCTATAGTGTGGAAACAGGTCCTTTGGCCCAACAAGTCCACACTGACGTTCAGAGCATCCCACCCAGACCCATCCCCTTATAACCCACCTAATCTACACATCCCTGAACACTATGGGCAGT